ACGAGCAGCAGGCGCCCTGCTCCCCTGTCCCCTGTGCCCCCGCAGCGTGCTCTGTGCCTCTGCTGTCCCACGCTCAGTGTAGGCCCCTCCCGCAGCTCCCTCTCCTGGGCCTTCTGAATGCCGTCAGGGCGAGGAGAAAACGGCCGACCTCCCACGGAAGAGCGAGGGCCTGATGGCTCGGGCGGGCAGCCGGGGGGCGAGCACTCGGTCTGACCCAGGGGTCACAGAGGGGCCTCGCGATGGCCGAGCTGAAAGAGCCAGCCGCAGCTGCGGCCCCCTCGCTCATTCAACACGCTCCTGTTTGGATGACAAACAAGCCCAGTGTTTGCAATTTCTCTGAAAGCACAGAGGAGCCCTCTCAGACGGGAGACCGCGGAGTCGGTGCACGGGAACGTGTTTTGTTTTCTTCCTTCTCATCTACCAGCTTCCCGGGTCTCACAGTTGTCCCAGTCCCCTCCGGGGTGGGTGGGAGACAGGCTCAGCCAGTGTGCAGCAAAGGGCTGACTCAGCAGGCCTGGGCTGTCCGCGCCCCGCACGCTCCAGAGAAAGGGCGAGCCCCGGCCCAGCTCCTGGGAGGTAAACCTCTAACGTCAGAGCCCTCAGAATGTCCTGCCTGATTAGTTTACCTGGGGGTCTTGGGCCACACCAGTTGATCCTTGCAAACAATGTGATCTATAGGGGGGCCTCACCCAACATAGCATCAGTTCAGCCTCTGGAGGGGCTGGAGGTAAAGGTCAAGCATGTGAGTGGTCAGCTGTGTCTATGTGAGCAGCGCCCAAGAAAACCCTGGACACCGAGGCTTGGGGAACCTCACTGGCTGGCAGTTCTTACCCCACGTGGTTGCCATGGAGGGAAAGAAACACTCTCCACCGGGAGAGGCAGCTGGAAGTCCTGTGTCTGGGGTCTCGTGGACGCTGCCCCATGCAGCCCTTCCGTTTGCTGAGTTGGGTCTGGCTCCTTTTGCTGTAATAAAGCATAACCGTGCGTGGAGTGGCTTCTCTGAATTCTGTGGCCCTGGTGAATTATTAAAGTTGAAGGTGATCTTAGGGATCCCCGAATGGCAGCCGATCATTTGCTCTCTGCTCACCCCTGAAGTAGCTGCATGCAGTGGCAGGCCCGGCGCAGGCACGTTGGTATGGGGCAAGATGCGCGTCCTCACCCTCTGGGGGCCAAAGAGAAGCCCCAGAGAGTGCGCCCTGTCAGACGACCGAGCCTGTGATCCCGCTGAGGAGGCAAGCGCACCGACCTCGGGCCTTCCCAGGGGCGGCCCCCAGGGGAGCTCAGGCGGGCATCTGGTCTACCACACGGTGGCGACCTGGGGTTGGCTTCCCCCGATGGCTCTGGCGGTGCCAGTGGCACTGGGCGTGCGCACAGCCCCCCGACTTCAGAGGGTGCCCCTCAGAGCACAGGAGCCAATTCCTTTAATAAGCAAAACCCCACCGGCTTTTATTACTTTGGGTAAAATAACATTTGCTCCTGAATAAGCAAAAGCGTCCTGACAGCTCTGTCGACGCGAGGTGTCCTATCTGAAAAGATATGAGAGGCAAGGGACAGAAGCATGAGGCTCCTCCGAAGCAGGCGGGGCCAGCCCAGGTGACAGGGAGAGGCCTCGCCCTCTAATGAAGAGGAGAAGGCCCTGCGCAGCGAAGACACTCGTCTCAGCCGGCCCTTTAAAACCAAATGATGGGGTTCATTTGCATTTAGATCTCCTCAGCTCCCTCTTTTCATCGGAAGACAAATCCTCACAAAAGGCTGCTTAATTAGACCAAATTAGATTTCCGCTCAGTAGCTTGTCACTCATTACAAAATGCTGTTCTTTTTCTATTTTGGTAATTATAGGCTGGTCTCTACCAGTTTGTAAGCGTTCACTCCAGCCCCTGAGTATGACTAGCATTCCTGATTTTGTGCAGAGACGAGGAAAATTATTCAGTTGCACCAAATCTGTCTATTTTATAAGTTGGATCAACACCATCACCTGAGTCTCTTACAATAATGGGTATTCTCACTCTTAACTCTGAAATAATTAATTGTAGGAGCAGCACAGAGCTTGGTAATTTCCAAGACTAAAAGCTAAGTACAAACAGATTTTGCATGTAGCAATTACATTAGGTGTTTGAAATCTTTGCCTCGGTTACGCAGCCCTGTTCCATCTGAGAAGCCACCCATTAAATCATTAATGGCACCGTCTCACCCTCAGTTAATATTGCTCAGTGTCTTCGGCACCGAACGTCTTCAGGGACGCTCGACCATCCCCTTCCTGGTTCTTTCCCTCCTCCCAGACGCGGGGTGCAGGCCCGTCCAGTGCTCAGCTTTAGGCCCAAACTGGGTGGCAGGTGGGTGCCTAGGGAAGGCCACGGAGGACCGGAGCGGATCGGTGGCCCCTCGGCCTTCATGGTCCCGCTCTTCAAATACTTCTCATTTGTCGCGCCTGGTGTAGCGCCGCACCTGGAGGGCTTCTCACACGCCCAGGTGGCCCTCCGAGCGGCCGGCAGGTTGTGTCAGGGAGGCCGGGCTGGCGTTCCATCCCAGGGCGGCCCGGCGGGCTGCGCTCTGGTCCTTCCGGCGGAGTGCACGTGGGCAGGTGGACACGGGCCGGTCACCAGGCCCAGGTGCTGCGGATGGAGATGGGACAGGCCGCAGCGACTCTCTCTAATAACAACGGCCACCCGTCCTGCCGCCCCTGTTTAGTGAGACCTGCTGTGTGAGGGGCACAGAACACCTCCCTCACACCAGGCCTGTGAACGGGGCGGCACTGAGAGACGTGCTACCGCATGAGAGGGTTGACGGTGGCGCCTGGCCCTACAGCTTCCCCGCCTCGCACTGTGCCTTCCTGGGCGAAGGAAGGCGGAAGAATCGGATGAGGTGGACCTAGGGCTGTGGGGGCGCTCCAGAACAAGACAGGCAGAGCCGGAGGGCACCTCATTTTATGGATGGCAACGCCACGGCCAAAGAAGAGGGGAGCCCCCCGAGGATGGGCCCTCCTCTCCAGCCTCCCGCCCCCCGTCCTCCGGGTCCCCGCCTGCCGGAGCCCCACAGCGGGCAGGGCAGGGATTTTCCACTCCGTGCCCCCAGCTCCACTGCCTGGAGCGTCTGGGGACAGACCCGCACCCTGTTCTGGAAGACCTGCCCCGGGCGGCCCGGGCCTGGGAGGCGCTGCCCCGTGATCTTCCAGGGCATCAGGCACCTGCGCCACGCGCTGGCGCTCAGTCACGCAGGCGTTCCAGAAGTGTGCGCTGAAGACCTGCTGTGTACCAGGCACTGGGGCGCATAGTGAATGGGACGGACCTGCCCCTGTGCGCACGCAACTGACATGCAGCTGAGCGAGGCGTGGCCGGAAGAACCCCCCCATGATCCATCGGCTGTAGTGAGGGGGTCCAGGGATGGACATGCACGACGAGGCCAGCTTGCAGGGGCTTCTAACTGGGGCTGCGGGCTCAGGGGCCCCTCCCGGGGAGGCGACACTTAGCGAGGAGTGGGGGACGGGGCTAGAAACAGATGTGGGGAGGACTGAACACAGACCTTACACGTGGGCAGCTCAAGGAGCTGAACTGAAAGAAAGCTGGGCAGGAAGTGGGGAGGGAGGGTGATGATGCGTCTGGAGCTTGTGCCGACAGGGCTCTCCCTCCGTAACCGAGCGAAGCCGCCGCCGCCGCCGCCGTGGGCGGGCTCCGGGCTTGTTCCTTTCCTCACAGTGGGCTGAGACGTGTTAGCTCAAAAGCCCACCAGACCAAACTCAAATTTTTACACATCCAGTTCTTTCAAAAATAGCCCACGGAAGCAGGTTTCCAGCCATTTAGGGCCCACCGGCTTTGCAGACCCCTCAAAACCACACCAGCATCTGCTGGCTGTTGGCGAGCAGTCTCATGGGCTGAAGACGCCAAGGCACAGCTCTCAGACCCAGATGCTCCCTGCCCTGCGCGGCGCAACATCATCTGGACACCAAGGCCTCTCCCATCTCCCTCTCGGCCGCAGCTCCCTGCCTCCTCTCCTCCGGACGCTGGCCCCTCGACCAGCAGCCTCTGGATGCTCGGTGCTACGAGGGGCGTCCGCCTCACAGCCCTGTCCAAGCACCACCAGGAGAGCCTGTGTGTGAGCGCCTCTCGTGGTCACGTGTTTCTCCTCCATCAGCCCACATCCTCGAGCTCACTCCCTATGCTCCTGCCTCTGCAACTACATTATTACCTATGTCTTCGGCTTCAGGGTACCAAACATAGTGCCCTGCACCCCGATGCGGCTGAGCCTCTGCCAAAAAAAGAGAGAGAGAGAGAGAGAGAGAGAAAGGGAGAAGCCTTGCCTAGCTCCTCACGTCGCCTTCCCCATGAAGCGGCAACACAGCGCCAACTGGAAAGCAGCCCACAGGCTGCAGAGCGGCCCGTCGCCCACCGCCCGGCTCCGCGCCGAAATCAATAGCCGTCCTTATTAACAGGCTTCGCTGCACGGCCCCTTCCCGGCTGCCGCCGCCGCCACGCGCACGGGTCAGCTGCCATTTTGTGTTAAACTCCTTCTCATTTATTACAATACCAGTTTTTTATTGACATGGAAATAAAACTTACAATCAATGAGACGCCATGAAATATACATCAAAACGGAAGCTGGCGTTTTCATCTGCTCTGGGGAAGGAACAAGGGTTTACTGGGGGTGGGGGAAAACACTGAACATTTTTCTTCCCTATTACATGATCCGATTTTCAATGACTCTATAAAGACAACAAAAACATAAATAGAGTAACCAAACAGAATGATCCCTGCGGCTGTCAAAACTTAAAACAGTTCAGTTTTCCTTTGATTTCTGCTTTAAGTTTTGAAAAGTACATAGATCATTCTGTGCTTTTTTGTTCTTTTTTTCCTTTCCTTTCTCTCCTTTTTCATTTATCTTTTTGGCAGAGAGCCCCTTTCTTCCGTCCGCTCCCTCTGTGGTCCGCTGGCTCTGACCCTGAGCCGCTGGACTGACCAAATGACCGAACGAACATGCCAGTTACATTCATCTTGTCATCTTGTCAGACCCACCTCGGTAGAGGAGACCTCTTCTGCTTATTACTTCTTGGCGGTCCAGAAACTTCCTCCTTTCCCATTGGACGCCACATCAAAGGAGGCTCAAAGGTGCTCCTTCCTCTTCTGAAATGAACGGCCCCCAGGAGAGGAAGGAGAGAGAAGCCGGCGGATCCCCGGTGCGCGGCGGGCCGGCCCTCGCTGTCTCTCCGCCCTCCCCACAGCAGCCGTCCAAAAGTAAGTCCCCATGAAGCCGAGGGGACACGACATGAAGCAGAACCCATCAACTTTCGCTGGTCCTTGGGCTTCCCTTGAAACAAATGTTTTGTGAAGACCCGAGATGCCTCTGGCAGACACGCCTGCACCGGCTTGCCCCATGGGGACCTTTGATCAACAAGGTCCAGCCGGGGCCCGGCCTTCACTGTTCCAGGCCCAGCCCAGAGCACGGCCTCACTTCCTTACAGTTGCGCAATGTTGTCCCACCGCCCCGCCCCGCAGTGAGAACGCGGCCACTTATTTGCATTTTTCCCTTTCCCATCCCAAAGAGAGAGTAGAATTTCCTAAATTGCTCTGACTGGAAATATGGCATCTCCTTACAAGGACGTATGGATTTTTCCTTTTACGGAGGCAAAATTGACATGAATTTAACCGCTAACCATTTTTGAGTGTGCAGGTCGGTGGCATGTAGCACCTTCGCCACGTTCCGCCACCACCGTCTCTAACTAGTTCCAACACTCATCACCCCAAAAGGAAACTGCACACCCACGAAGCAGTCGCTGCACTCTCCCCTCCGCCATTCCTCAGCAATCACTTACCTACTTTGTCGCTATGGGTTTACCGACTCTGGACATTCCTATCACTGGAATCCTACAGTATACGGCCTTCTGCATCTGGCTTCTTTCCCTTGGCATATGTTCTCCAGGCGCATGCGTGTGGTGGCAGGTGTCAGGGCCTCTTTCCTTCTCATGGCCGAGTAATATTCCACTGCTTACGGATAGACAGCATTTTTATCCACTCACCCGCTGATGGGCACGCAGGTGGTTCCCATCTCTTGGATCTTGTGACTGGCACTGCTGTGAACACGCGGGTGCGTAGCTTAGTTTGCACAGCTGTTTTCAGTTCCTTTGAGCCCACACCTAGGAGCGGAATTGCCGGGCCACCTGGTGATCCTATGTCTAACTCTCTGAAGAACCATCAGATGAATATTAATTTTATAGCTACTTGTCTGTTCACACCACTGAAGACAAAGTGGCTGATCCTTCAAGCCGGCGGGAGGCTCGCGAGGACCGCTTTTTATTAAGAACCTCCCAGGCCCTCTGCTCAGAGCTTCCTCTGCGTTGCGAGGTGCTCCACCAACCCTATGGGGCCAGGCCATTTCATTGCGCTTATTTTATAGGAAAGGACACTGGGGCTCAGAGGTTAAGCAACTTGCTTGAGGTCACACACAGTTGAGAAGCCAGAAATCCAACCCGGGGCGTGTGGCCCCAAGCTCATGTTGTTAAACCCTACACTTTCAAGTCCCAGTACTGTGCGCAGTGATGATCTGTTTGGATCTGGATTGTGCCGGGGTGCAAGCTCAGCTCTTACTTACATGGTGCGGAGCCTGAGAGGACGCGCGGGCCTGCTGAGGGCGGCGCCCCGGAGCGCCCCCTGCTGGGGGTAACGCGCCAGGCAGAGGAGACACGGACTGCAAAGTGCTGCGCCGGGTGATTTCTGTCTGTGTCGCGGGGGCGGGGGGGGGGGCGGAGTGGGGAGCAGGGGCTCACTTTATCCCTCCTATCTCAGGAAATAGTCACCAGTAGTCACTGCATCACACCTCCGTCTATTTCCTGGGCACGCACCCACCTTGTGGCCCGCGGAGAGCTGAGACCGCCTCCCTGCTCATCTCAGCCTTAAGCCTCAGGGAGGGGCGTTGTTTTCCACATTTTACCCATCAGGCACTGGGGTGTAGATAGACTGAGTGGGTGCGTCAAGGCCACGCAAGTGTAACAGGAGACCCATGTCCACTGAGACGTTCAGGTTCAAGAGCCACGTGAGAAATCGGGAGTCAACCTCCGCCACCGTGCGTGGGAGTCACCACCTCTTTTAGGGGCTTCTGTTTCTGCCAAGAAGTTTCTGCAAGTTGGTCCCCCTGGACAATGAGTTTCCTCCTGAGAGTGACTTGGGTCAGTTCATAGTAGTAGATGACGCCCAGCCGGTTTTTTACTGCTTTCGTTTCTGTTTTTGTTTTTGTTTTTATTCCAAATCATGGTGATTGTTCCTCCCAGCCTCTCATGCTTGCCTTTTTGCAAACACGGCGCGTTCCCCCCTCATCCACCTAAACCTGCTGCTGAGTTACCGGCCCCCAGAGGCTGCGGGCTCCGAGCGACGCATCCCCACGCTCTGCTGCCGCCCGCCGCCTTCTCGGAGTGTAATCAAACATCAAGCTAAGTAGCAAATAAATCTCTCGATCTCATAAGCTGCACAGCGAGATCATGTAAATGCAAATGAAGGACCTGGTTTCAAGCTGTCGAGGGGGAGGGGAGGGAACGCCAGGGCCCTGTCACCGTGACCGCCTCCCACGGCAGGGGCCATACATCAGCGACAACCGTGGGACAGGCAGCGCCCGGGGCGCCAGGGCTGCCCAGGAGGGCGGGCGAGGGCCGAGGGCAGGGGCCAAGCGGCTCAGTGGGGCCTGGAGCGCGCCGTCCCCAAGGCCCGGCCACTCTAGTCACGTCAGCGCCCACGCCCGCGGCAACAAAACCCCGTTCCTGGAGCAGCGCCCTGGGCCAGACTCCGCCAAGCGCTCTGTGCGGCCTGTGGAGGTGTCGCAGGTCCAGAAACAGGGACAAGGCAAATTAAGTGACTTGCCCAAGGTCTCGTGGGAAGTGGCAGAGCTGGGACTCAGTTCTGTGTGACAGTCACGTGCTGGGGCTTCCCCCTCACTCCCCCTCCCCGCGCAGCAGCAGGAACCTCGATCCCCCTTAAAAATTCGCAGGGGACTTAGAATGACCTAGAGGAAGAACCGTAACTTTGGCCCTAGGCAGGTGTCTGTAACATCGAACCTTAAGATGTAACTCTGCCTTTTGACTTTTTAAATTATAACAATAAAATCTTAGCCCTCCCCCCGCCCCACCAGCCCGCATCTCTAACTACAGGCCCTCGCAATCAGTCCGCTCACGAGTTTCCTCCAAGTATTTTTTCAATTAATTTTTTTTTTCATGGTCATAACGATAGTCTATGTAACATTTAAATCCTGCCGTGCTTTTTTCCCCCACTTGACATTATTTTGCATGCCTTTGATCACAGGTGGATGTGCGCGGTCCCCTCGTGTGTATGGCTTCGGTATCACCACGCGGCTAACACAGGCTCGGGTTCAGGGGCCCGGCGCCTGGGAGGGGCCCGAGGCCTCTGGTGCACAATGTGCCTCATCTCTCACATGGCTGTTTATCTGAGGCTCTCATTATGGAAATAAATAAATGCGCTCTATGCTAATCATGATCGCGATTTGCATTTATATTGTGCTCCTCATTCGAGGATCTTAAGTTGTTTTCCAATAATGAACTGCCCTTCCGCGAGCGCAACGGTATGCGTGTGCGTACGCACGCGCGCGGTAGCTGTGTACAGATATTTATTTAATAACTACCAGGCCGTAACTGGGATTTCCCGTAACTGCGCTTTAATGGGATGCAGGAAAGGGAGCGGAGGCTTTTCAACTGTCGAACGAAACATTCATAGACTGGAGACGCTAGGCTGGGGGTTAATGCGCTACGTGCAGCCTATGTGGCTGCTAGGCGGTGGGAGTGATTCGGCGGTGGGGCAGCCTCCACTGTAGAAGGCGGGTCCAGACGCCGGCGCCGCGCCCCCGGACGGAAAGCCCGCCGCGTGGGGGCGCCCGCCGGCCTGTTTGTCCAGCGGGCAATCCGTTCAGGCCGCCCGCCCATTTCGCCCAGGCCTGCCTCTGCCGTGGCAAACGGACACTGGTTACATTTTTTTTACAGTCTATTGAGTAGAAAGTGATTAGATTTGAGTTGCAAGGCCGTGTCGCTTGCTTGAAGTGAATGTCCCAGGACAATGGGCCTTGGCGGGGTTCCAGGACCAGGGACCTTCCTTCTTGGGCCTCAGGTGACCTCAGAGCAAGACGGCGGCCTGCGGAAACGCCACCTGTGCTTGCCTCTGCGCAGCCGCGGCGGTCCTCAAGCTGGTGGCCGGCTGCGCCGAAGGCCCCCCGCGCGGGTTTCCAGCGCCTGGTCCTTCACGTCGGGGCGCGGAGGGAGCTTCGTGCAGAAGGAGCCCGGCGAATCCCAGGACCCCTGGGACCGGGGACGGAGATGGTTTTAATTAGAGCTGAGAGATGAGAAATAAGGCAGAGAGGGATGACATCTTAATGAGGTTTAATGAAGCTGTCTGCTGATGAGGACAGCTGTCACCCAGAGCTGTGTTCCAGCCAAGCCACTATGTGACAGAGCAAGCTCAGAAGAAAGGCACAGTTTGAAAGCTGCGGAGGAGGGCGGGCTGGTCAGGCCCGAAGCTGAGACTTTCCTCCACCTTCACCTCTTGATTCTAACACCTCAGTGACAAGGGACTCGGCCAGTAGACAGTGGGTCGCGTCTGAATGGCTTCGATAGTTCACAGTCCCCATTGTGCTCAGGCATGCCTCTCAAAAGACCTTGAGGACTTTGCATACATACAGTGTCTTAGAATTCGGCTGTAAATATGAGAAACACGAGGAGGGCTTGTATTGAGGGCTGAAAGGGGTTCACCTGGCCAGCCCCTTTCTGAGCCTTGATTTCCCCATCTGCGCAGTCACGGTAACTTGGCCTCTCCTGCAGAGCTGTCGCGAGGGAGCGCCGCGGGACGAGCCCTGAGCCACAACGTCCGAGAGAGAGCCACGTGCAACCCCAGCGCCTTTACTGACTGCCCGCATGGCTTGGAGCAAGCAAGCACGGATCTCCTTAAGGTTCAGATTTCCCAGATGTAAAATGGAAACCTGCCTCACAGGGGGGTTGGCAGAGTTCCAGCAGAAGCACAGGAAGCTCTCAGGACATAGTAAACGCTCCGTTAGGGGACTCGGTAACCGAAGTCACAGTAAGAGATGCTCAATAAATGTTAACGCTGTTCCTCGTTTCTTTGCTTCTGCAGGAATGACAGTGCGGTGGTTCTGAGGGTCCCTGCACAGGGAGGGGCCCCCAGCCCTCATGGGGCCCAACAGCCCAGCTATGCCATCTGCCCCAGGCCCTTTGCATGTTCCAGCCTGAGAGCTGGGGCCCCTTCTGCCTCTGGGCCACCTCTCATCCTGTTCTGGGCTGGTGGGCAGGCTGCTTGGGAACATGGGTGGCCGATCACAGCTGAGACTTGTGACCACGTGGGGTCGGTTTCGTGGAAATCAGAGTGGGATTGCCACGGAGAGGCAGGTGACCGCCCTGTCGGGCCTCAAGTCCCTTGAGTTTTGGTGGCCGCCGATCTCAGACGTCTGTCACAACCCGCTTGCCTGTACCTAGAAGTTCAGGGTCAGCGGCTCCCCCGAGGTGCCCGGAGAACTGCAGACCCTCTGTCGCCTGGGTTTTCTCCGTAGGCTTCTGGAAGGCCTTTTGGGTCGTTTCCGGTCCTTGGCTGTCCCGTGTCGAGGTGCTCTGTGCATCGCAGACATACCTTTGGGGGGACGCAGGCACTCATGGCTGTTGGGGGTCCGGGAGGGGGCCATCGGGTCGGCCTGTGCTCAGCTTTAGCTGACGGCGCGCAGCGGCTCGGCACGCGGTCACACCAGCGTGCATTCCCACCCAGCGCGTGAGCGTCCAGTTGCTCCACATGTTCGCCGGCAACGCTGAGTTTTTTACTTTGTATTTCCCAGAGGCTGAGCACCTTAACTTACAGGTCCTGGCTTCTTGGACGTCCTTTTAATGAAGTGCCTATCCCAGTCTTTTGCTCATTTTTCTATGGGATAAGCTGCCCTTTCCTTGTTGAGTTATAGCAGCTCTTTATATATGATGGGTAAGAGTCTTCTGTCAGATACATGTATTGCCGATATCTTTTTTCACTCTATGGACTCACAGGTTTTTAGAGCTAGAGGCATCCTGCTCGGTTGTCCTTGCAAGAAGATGAACTCGTAAGGGCAGGGCCTCTGCATCTTTTGTTCACCTTCGAACCCTGGGCCCAGGGCTTGGCGCAGCAGAACAAGTAGAAAATAAATATTTGTGGAGTGGAAAAATGAGTGAACCTTCCCCGGGGATGATCTCTGCGGCCTGAGGCTTCCGTGTGCTCTGGCGATTGTCGGTTCCCGGGCGCGTGGGGGTGAGGAGCCCGCCCCATCCCCTCCCCTCTGCCCGCCCAGGGTGGCAGCCGGCTCATAAGTCTGTCTGTCGTCCCTCTGCCAGCTGGAAGTCTGCCCGCCTGCACCTGCCCTGAGGGGGGGCCTCTCCCAGAGAAGTCACATTTTAATTAACTTCCCCAGCAGTCATCCGAGAGGCCAGATCATTTTCATAAACAAATGAGAAGCCAGAGCTTTGTCTGCAGCTCAGAGCGAGTTGTGTGGACGGAAGTCAAACAGGCCTCCTCGCGAGGCTGCGGGTGCCCTCCTGGGACCCCTGGCGCCGGAGCTCTGGAGGGAGGCCGGGGCCTGGGGTTTGAGGTGGGAAGGGGGCGGGGGGGAAGCTGCTCGGGCTCCGGGCTCCGGGGAGAAAGGAGCTGATCAAGCCTCCAAGTGGGCGGTTCGCGCACATCCACTCGCCGCCCCGCGTTGCTGGCATCCATTCTGTGCTGGGCCCTGGAAGAAGAGGGTGAAAATAAAGGCCAACAGGGGCTGCCGGGGACGCTCTGTCCCTTCTGCTCGATTTCGCTGTGAACCTAAAACTGCTCTAAAAAAATAAAGTCTATTTTTAAGAGCCAATTTTTAAATGAACCTTAAAATAAGTGAATCAAGATGGAGCTCACAGTCCACCAGGGCAGGCAGGTGTGGAGCTGATCATCGTGCAATTAATGACTTCATGACACCCCGTTGTGATGGCCTTGCTGTGACATAAGTCAGACACCAGACACGGCCCTTTAAAGCGCACAAGCCAGTGGGCTTGGGCACAGTTGCAGAGCTGTGCCGCCACCGCCGCAGGCAACTTCAGGACATTTTCATCCCCCGAGAGGAGCCCCGCTCCCCTCGGCCACCCCCTCCAGGTCGCCCCACTCCCCCCTCCCAGCCGCAGGCAACCACTGATTGACTTTCTGTCCCTATGAATTTGCCTGCTTGAGACATCCCATGGAAATGAAATCATACGACATGCGGTCCTTTGTGACTGGCTTCTTCCACCAGCACCATATAGTCAAGGCTCATCCAGGCTGTAGCAGGTACCACTGTGTCCTTTTGAAAGTGCCCTAAGGTGGCATTCAGGGCCCTATGATGTCACATATGAGGACGCTTGTTTGGACTGGGGGCAACCTGGGAGGACTTCCCAGAGGAAGAGGTTTTCATCCCAGGTGTTTACAGAGCACCTGCTAAGAACGATCAGCAAAAGGAAGGCTGTAGAAGCTGTCGGTCAGGCTGTGTAAGGATTTATCATCCAGGCAGGTTGGCCTGTGCATTCATAGAAATCTGGGTCACTTAAGTTCTAAGCCCCAAGTGAGCAGGACAGACAGTAAACCTCACAAGAGCCAGCAAAGGAGTGGCTACTGTGAACTCAAGGGGTCCAGAGAGCTTGAGGTACGAGGACCAGCAGGGACGGCCGGCCAGGAACCAAGGGCCTTCCAGGAGGACGGGGCCACCTGTGGACCCTTCAGGGAGAGGAGCGGGCTGGCCCACCTACACTGCAGGGCCACTTTGGGGAGTCTGGGAGGCGAAGCTGCACGGGGGCGGTTGGAGGGTGTGGGTCGGCCAGCCGGCCCGGGGAGGGGATTGTTCGAGGCAGCGTGCACCATTGCGGAGGATCCCTGCTCACCTACCAGTGTGTGCTCAGGTCCCTGGGAGCCCGAGAGACAGCGATGCCAACGAGATAGGAGGAGGAGGGAGAGGGAGGACTAAGGGAGAGGAGCGTATGAAAAACCGAATATTGTACCTGGAACCTGGGACCCAGCATGTGCCCTGCCCATTGACGGTGAAGAACCGGTGGCCACCCGAGCACCGTGCAGGAGAGGGCCCTGACCTCGGGGGCCCCCAGGGAGCGGCCGGGGTGCCCTGTGAGCTCCGCCCAGAGGCCAGGCGTGCCTGCCCCTGAAATCCAGCCCCATCCCTTCAGAGCCCGAGATAATGGCTCCGGCTCTCCAGGTCTCGGGTTCCCTGTTTATAAAATGGGGGGATTAATGTGATCGAGAATACACAGAGCGATGTCCTTCCTGCAAACACCTTCCAGGGGCTTAAGGAGGCGTTCGCCAGAGACCCAGAGAGTGAGAACAGTTGTCTGGCTGCCTAGGAGGACAGCGGGTCCTGTCGTCGGTCAGGAAAGCAGGGTTAGGGAAGGCGCCCCTCCAGGTGAGCCCCTCCCCGTGAACAGGGCCCGGCAGCGCCTCCGCACAGGTGGGCAGCCTGCACTGGGCCCCCGGCGCAGCAGACGCGCCCCCCGGCCCCGTCCCGCTAGACTCTCCGCACTGGCCCCGTCACACAAGTGCCCCAGTCCAGCATCTCAGTGCCCTCCGAACATAACCTCCGCTCCGGAAGGGCTCTGTCGCCCACACCCTATATGGTCGCCCTGATGGTCGCCCACGCGGCCTGGGCAAGGTGGGCGCCCCGTGACCCCCGGCTGCGGAACTGACAGTGAAACAGCCGGTCCGGGACGCCACCCTCACCCTGCTGGCTGTGCTTCCCCCGACAGGCTGAACTCGGGAAGCCCCGGGAGCGAAGCTGCAGCCTTCCTGGAATTAACTTCAATTACGGACTCTACATCCGGGGGCTGGATGGCGGGGTCCCCGAAGGTGAGCGCATGTGTGCAGATTGAGCCCTCGACCGAGGCTGGCCACGCGGCAGCTGGCCGCGCTCCCGGGAAAGAGCCCAGGGGCCTGGCCTGCAGCACCGTGCTGGTGGGGACCGCGGCCTGGGCTTGGCTGAGACGGGGCGCACCAAGCAGGGTCCAGGTCGAACGTGTCAGGGAAAGAGGAGGGAACTCAGCCAGTGTGGAGCCTTGTCCCCAGCCCAGGGAGAGTCTGTGCTCTGCGCTGGTCCAGCTGCGAGCTCTGGGTGGGCTTAGGACCGACCCTCTGGTCACCCAAAGGAGGTCAAGGCCAGGCGAACCCAGCTCCGTTCAGCCACCCCTAGAATCTCCGGGAACCCTGACCCCGCCCTTCCCAGGGGGCCCAGCGGGGCTGTCCCAGGGCCGGCTCCAGGGCAAAGGGCAGGTGCAGGCCCCGCAGCCCCGCCTCTTCCTAGTCAGCTGCCTCGAATGGCCTTGCTTCCCAGACTGACCCCTGCGCCATGACCCGTCTCTCCCTGTCCTCAGCCATCGGACGCTGGAACGTGTTTCAGCCGCAGCCCACCCGCTCCCAAGAACTGATGCAGAATTACATCGCTATGAACCGCGGGGCGGTGAAAGCCGGCCTGGTAACTGCCCGGGAGAACCTTCTCTACCGTCAGCTCAACAACATCCGCATCAGAGACAAGGAGGACCGGCGCCTCAAGAAGGAGCCGCCCCCTCTCCCTCCGAATATGACGTTTGGGATCCGGGCACGGTAAGGTGGCTGGCACTTTAGGCCCCGCCCCTCCCCGTGGTAGGCTGGGGAGGGGGCTTAGTGGTGGCCGAACTGGCGACTTACGTGGGAGCATGGCTCTTGGCGGCAGGGAGGGGCACGTGATCCGGACCTGGCCAACGAGTGTCCTTCACAAACCTTGGTCACAGCGATTGGTTCAGAGGCTGTCACGTGGCCCATGTCCCAACCGTGGCATGCATGACATTCTGTAAAAATAGAATGCAGTTGCATGTCATCAATCTCAACTCGAACGGCCTTGGTTTTTGCTAAGGGAAATCCGTTGGCTCACACGGTTGAGAAGCCCAGCAGGAGGGCTTCAGGCAGAGCTGGACCCAGGCAGTCGGGCAGCGCCATCCGCATCTGGGTGTCTCCATGTCCTGGCCATGCTCCCCAGTTTGGGCTCCGTTCTCTGACAAGTTTCTTCCTCCTGTGGCAAAAGATCCAGGATCAGCTCCGTCCTATTCTCCTCGGGACCCAGATGGAAGGGTGTGGGGACTACAAAAGCCTGGAGATTAAGATGCTTTCGTCCAACTTCGTGCCTTGCCTGTCCCTGAACGTACCACTGTGAGTAGGGTCGGCGGAATGCCAACCCGGGCCAGTCCCGGGTCGCATGTCTGCCTCTGAGCCAATTGCTGAGGCCAGCGGATTCTGATGCTCTGATCAGCCAGGCCTGATCCCTTGCTCCTCCGTGGCGGGGAAGACGGTGTGGTTGGAATCAGTTCCCACCATCAACAGGGGCCAATAGTGGAAAAGATGTAGAAACAGGGGTTCTGTCCCCAGAAGGGGGAGAACAGAACAAAACAGCAGGCAAAACCAGCAGATGCCCACCCTGTGGCACAGCACAGCTTAGCATCAGCGCAAAATGGCTGGAATTTGCATGTCGCACAAATGAACAGAAGCGCTGGCAGCCGGCAGCGAGTGGCCCCGGGCCCCGCCCGGACACCTGCGCCCATCTGCGTGGCGGTGCCCGACCTGACTTTGCCCGTAGTCGAGGCTGCTGACGCTCTATCTTCAGCCCCGCTCTGGCTGCCACTCCTGGACTGTCCTTCGGCGAGGCCACCCTACTTTTATTTTTTAGTGGTTCCTTCTTTATTTTTCTTGAGTCACTTTTACTGTGGTAAAATATACATACGATTCACCATTTTTAAGTGCACAATGTAGTGGCGTTCAAGCACGCGCACATCGTTGCTCAACACCACCGCCGTCCGCCCACAGAACCCTTCCGTCTCGCAAAACTGAAACGCTGTCCCCACTCAGCACTCGCTTGCTGTCCCTCCCTCCCTCCGCCCCGGCCCCACCGGCTCCCTTCCTGCCTTTGCGAATTTGACGACTGCGCACCCCTCATCTAAGCGCAATCACGTAACATCTGCCCGTTGGGTCGGGCTCTGTTCCATTTACCGTAATGTCTTCAAGGTTCATCCACGCTGTAGCCGGTGCCAGAATCCCCTTCTTTGCAAAGCTGAGTAATGTTTCATCGTGTGTGTAGACCGCACACGGTTTATCCATTTATCTGTTGACGAACACTGGGGTTGCATCCACCTTTGGCTGCTGCGACCAGAGCTGCCGTGAACACGGGTGTGCAGGGATCTGTTCGAATCCCTGCTTTTGGCTCTTTTGGGCAGATGCCCTGAGGTGGAGTCGCTGGCTCAGATGGGAATTCTATGTTTAATTTTAATTTTATTTATTTATTTTTAGAGAGAGAAGGGAGGGAGAAAGAGAGAGAGGAAAACATCAATGTGAGAGAGAAACATCGATCGGTTGCCTCTCTCACACCCCTAACCACGGACCGGGCCTGCAACCTAGGCCTGTGCCCTGACCGGGTATCAAACCAGCAACCTTTTGGCCTGCAGTATGTTGCCCAATCCAGAAAGCCGCGCTGGTCAGGGCTCTCTATTTCTTTTCTTTTCTTTTCTTTTTTTTTTTTGAGGCATCTCTGTGCTGTTTACCCCAGCGTAGGCCACTGTGCCTTTTCTCACCCCCCTAACTGGTAAAACCGCTTGTTTTCCCGGGTTTGGCTCAGTGTCATCTCTTCATCTTTCCTACCTGCCACGGCCTCGCCTCTCTGTCACCGGAAATGCATTTCTGTTCTCCAGCCCTCAAGACCTAGAATCTGGCACGAGAGACAGACCAGAGAGCCACTTCCGGGCTGGATTAACGAACCGTCTGTAGTCTGTCCTTACATCCTCCTTGAAACCATATCTCCCTGGTGCCGCTGACTCTGGGCGTCTCCTGGGCCCCCCACCTCACCCCTCTGTGGCTCACAACACGGGTGCGCCCTCCTTGCCCTTTTTCTCATGGATTGCCCGGAGCACAGAGAGACACAAAGTCCCCGCTGGGCACCACACCACTGCACTGATCTGTGCTGGTCATCAGTGTCTCAGAGACAGCGTGGTGTCCAGGAGCAGCCCAGGCCGAGCCAGCCCGGGGTTCTAGTCCCAGCTCTGCCCTCGACTCTCTTTCCTCCCAGAATTCCATGTTTTCTTTTCATCCGTAACTAGGGCCCTACAGTAGCAGCTGGGTGCCCCGGGACTGTCAGGGCCGGTCTGTCTCTCTGTTGGCTTCGTTTCCTTGTCACTGAAGTGCTGCACAGGGGAGAGGCAGGGCCACAACCAGCCGAGGCAGCGAGAGGCTGCTCAGCCTTCCCAGAGTCACGCCAATTCCTCACGCAAGGCTTGGCCTGGACTCTCCCCCGAGAGTGCGTATGTTTGCAAGTATAAAATATTAAAATATACGGACGTCAGCTGTCGCCTGGTCCATAGCCCTGATTTAAACAGGAAAATAGAAGCCCAGGGAGGTGAAGAGACTTTCCCAAGGCCATAGAGCAAGGGGCAGCCACACAAGAGCCAGGCCTGGGGCCCGGGGCAGACTTCCTGCCCAGGGCCCTCTGCCCTTCCTGCCACTGCACCTCTGGGGACGTGGTACCGGGAACACCCACAGTTCCTGGTCCTGGGGCTGCGTTTGTCTGCATACAACGGAAAAGCTTAAGTCAGCTGGGCTCAGAAAGGCCATCCATTATGATCAAGTTTTCAATATAAACATCTTAAATTGCTGTGCAACCGAGCCACTCCCGTTCTGGGGAAACACGTGATGAAGTGCGGGCTAGATCTTCTGTGATGGTAAATGGGCTTTGCATATGCAAATTGAATGGATTTTAAAATGGTATTTAATGACAATTTTCGTAGCAGACGTTAACATTAATTGCACAAAAATGAAAATGCTGCATTAGGTTGCTGTTAGCAGCAAATATCGTGGCCATAAAGCTTTATCTTTATCAACAGCGGCCGCTGGTGATGTGACAGGGCAGCTCCGCAAATTGCAAGCCAAAGGGCTTTTATGGAACAAAACTATCCCCCAAAGCAGGCCCAAATCAGCATCAATTTCGCTTTATTTCTCCGTAAATGGAGGTTAAATGGCCGCTGCAAAAGCTTTTACTGAGATGCCCAACCTGCCCGCCAAGCCCCTCCACCTCACGACAGGAACGAAAGGAGCAGTGAAGGGCCGTCGCCCCCGCCCCCGCCCCGTAATGGGCCTATTACTTTAAAGTTATGGGCCGAGGCCCATTCTCTAATGATCACCTTTTACAAGCCTCGGGTGTATTTATTTCTCCACTCTAAAAGCATGTTTAAAACCAAGTCCGATCCTACCCGACGACCCGAGGCGTCGCTGGGGTGATCTGGTCCAATGAATAAAGAAAGAAACAAATGAGGCCCCTCGGCTCACAACTCCAGGTGTGTTTAAAAAATCACAATAAAGCCCCACCTTAGACTAAGAACAGGAAAAGCCCGCTGGAAGCTGGGGAGGCGAGCAGGCAGGGAGGCTGTCGCCGCAGCGCCAGGCCAAACTCTGACCCGGCTCCACCCCCCCCCCCCCCCCCCCCCGCCCCGCATCACGCCCTCTGGCCCCTCCTGTAGTTTACCAGGGACAGAACGGCAGATGGCGGGGGCATCACGCACCTCGGTCCGCCTGCCGCTCCGCCTCTCAGTACCAGATGGGCCCCAACCCCGCGCTGACGATGGATGATTCCGTCCCTTCCTTTCCAGTCCGCCCACTGGGCGCCCAGGCCACACCGTGGGTTACAGACTGTCACCGAACCCGGCAAGGCGCCCTTCAGCCCGCCCGCCTCTGTGACTAAAAGGACGTGGAGGCCAGGCCCTTCTCCGGAAGAGGGGCCCCACGCACACGGGTCGACACACAGAGATGTTTGGTCGGCGCAGGCAGTGATTTTAAAAACAAAAAAATTTTTTGTAACAAGTTGCCACATTTTAAAAGTCAGGAGATTTGTGTAAACACCCAGATTTCCCGGTTCTCCTAAGAAGTGAGAGCCCAGCCGACCTGCGTGGTCGCCCCTGCCTGGCGCCAGGGACTGGCCGGGAGGCAGGGTCCCGCTTTGGACCGAATCCGCGCGGCTCTGCCGTCTCTCCCAGCTCGCGGCCTGCCTGACCCTCACGCTCACCATTTGCCCGGCCCCGATGGGCGCTGAGTTTGCAGCTGCGGTAAACACTGGCCATCATGATCCCTCAGTTACCCGCCGCCTCTGTCTGTGGTAGGGGCCACCCTACCGGAAGCTGCCATGACTTGAGCTTATGTGCTGCAGGCATTTTGCACACGTAATTGCTGACCCTAACATCGATCCTCTTGGGCAGGTATCATTCTGCGCATGTCCCAGGACGGGACAGGGAGGGTGCAGGTCCTCACTGAGGCTGCTTTGAAGACCGCACCTCCAGCGCCGCGCAGCGGGGACCACCTGTGCACTCTCAAATCTCAGAATTCAAGTCAGGGAAGAATTTTGAATTTGTATTACCAGACTGTAAGGCCACGACGCGGATCTCAAGGCATGCCGCAGCTCAGGTTCACCAACGGGTATGTCCAGAGGTCAGAAATGTAACTATTAATTATTGATGCGCTTTAACAAGTGTTGGCAAACATTCACATTCCCTCGGCACGTCTTAATTGTTACTGCTCCTAATTGGTCCAGCGTTGTC